ACATTCTCATTCCAAACTCCCTTTATACGACAGTGCAGTTACGTCTGTAATCGCCCGAACTGACGACTCCATCATCCCTTGCTCTATCTTTTTTGTCACGCCAAACACCCTACGGGACATGACAAGCACCTGCTTTTTTTACTCGTTATAAATCATTGTTCATTCTTCATTGTTAATCACCATCATCATCGTCATCATTATACACGTTAGCTGCATTTGGAAAACACCTCAGCTTTTGTGCCACAATATAAAAGACAAGAGAAATCTGAGGTATGCGGGCTGAGTCCCCAGTAACGGATGGATATCGTTCCGGAGAGCTAACAGCCATCTATCTTGCCGCAAAAGGAATTATATTATGCCTAACGATTGAGACCGTGATTGGACGGGGAGGCTGAGCAGGAGGAGTATGGACAAACAAAATCACAACACAAACGCCATTCGGGTTGGCTCCTAGCCATATCAGCAAGTGTGTCCAGCTAAACATGATCATCGTCCTTATGACCCCAGCCAGGTAGTTGGGATGCACCAACCGACACCAGTTTCGAAGTGACGCTTTTCACTGCTTTTGACCATATTATCGCTTGGCCTCCGCTCCTCCGCTTCCAACCGCACGCCCGGCGCGCAAACAATGTATGTCGCAGCAGTCGGTGTGCTGGCATGCGCAACACGTGGCCCAGCCATCGGAGCTAAGTTTGTGATATAATGGTGCTGAGTGCTTCACTAGCTCTTCTTGTACCAAACACGCGACACCGAGCACGCTCACTGATCACGCGATGCTCCCACTAGACAGGGGCGAAGCTGCGAAGGCAGCGATGATTGAACGTGGCTAGCCTCCTTATGCCCATCGACCTGATTGGCCAATTTTCACAAGCATATAAGTGAGTTGAACGGACGGCTGCGTTATAAACTCTGTCCTTCATGGCGAGAGAAATGTCGTGTATGCGCCTCAGATGTCGAAGATTAACAAAAGCACCTCAGGCTTTTGCCACACGCTTCGTACTCTCCGGTTCGATCCCAAGGGCGCTAATATAGCTGCCCAAGTACTTGAAATCCTAAAGGACTTCTAGCTGATCACAACCAAGGGTCAACGCAGGGGTGGGTCCTTGCCATTCCTGGAGAAGACTTTGTATTTCAATGGAACAACGCATAGCGCAAAACGATTGACAGCCAGTTCTAATCGCTCCAATTCATCCTGCAACGTTTGGGCGCTGTCACAGACTAGGGCAATATCGTCTGCATACCCTAAGGCAAGACGAAGCTCACCAGAAACGAGCTCAACACTTTCTAGGTCGTGTCCAGCGAAAGCTGTTGCCATGACTCCATCAATAGCGAAGTTAAAGAGGAAAGGTGACAGCGGGCAACCTTGTCTCACACCGCTGGAGATATTGAAGGCCGACGACAGCTGGCCGTAAGCCCTCACTGTGCCCGAGCTACGCGAGCATAAGGTTCGGATCATATTTACATATATTTCGGGCACGCCTTTCTTGATTAGACAGTCCCAAAGGGCACATCCATCCACCGAATCGAAGGCATCTTCGATGTCGAGAAACACGACAACGGTGTGGCAAATTTAGATATGGCGGTGCTCCGACAATTGACACAAAGTGAACATGTAATCGATGCAGCCTCGATTTCGGCGAAACCCGGCTTGCTCTCCGTAGATCTGGCCTACACGAGCGTCAGTCAGTCTGGAGAACGACAGACGCAAGCAATTTAGAGGCGATGGAGATCAGACTGATCCCTCTATTGTTACCGCATTCCGAACGTGAGCTTCCCTTGCAAATTTGGACTATGACGGAACGGCTCCAATCTGTCGGGACAGTCTCCTGCTCCTAAAGTTGCACTAGCCACTCGTGTGAATCATGTACAAGAGCAGCTCCCCCGAAATTGAAGTGGGCCGGGGGAATTTCATCTGCATCAGCGACCTTATGCAATTGCAACAGCCTGACGTAAATCATCCAGACAGACTGTCCAGTATCGCCGTTGTGCTCATTGTTCTCGAAAAAATTAAACGGAGGCTAGTTCATGCAGCTATCTTGATTGGTGTGTTAATAATACTTGAACTTCCTGTTGCCATCTTTTCCTTGTGATTTCATCGGTTGAGATTGTCCAAAAGTTTATACCTCCGGAGATACCTTGGGGCCGTAACAGTACATACGATTTGATTCCACTGACCCATTCAACCAATTGTTAGTAAATGCAGGTAGACAATTGTTGAAAGCGATGGGGGTACTACATCTAATCGCAAAAAGTTTAGCTTACAATGTCTCAAAGTGTTCTGTAAGATAAGTTCATCTGGCAGTGACGGCGGCATTTCACCTAATTATGTCTACATCCTTTGCCCAAGAACCTCGATCAGTTATACCTACTCAATGCATATTGAGCCAGTTTGCTCACATTATCGGTTGTATCCCAGGTGTAACTTGTGTGTCCTTCGCTAGCTTTGAGAGATCACTTTGCTTGCCTACTACGCAGGGTTGAATTCAGTGCACCAAACATCCGCTCTTCTGCAGTAACCTCCACAAGTCATCAACTCCTAACAATAGCCTAATACACGCAGAACGCTATGAAAAATCAGCAGTGAACAACTGCACTTCTTTATCATCTGGGGGAGTCAGCTGATTTTAGTACACATCCTATAGACCTACATGTCCTTGTAACCATCGCCAACCTCCCTGGCTGAACTAAGGCAATCGTCATCTACTCCTGTTAAGCCTTAGTGATGACATGTGACATAATCAACACGCTCGGTTTCTATTGCGGCACTTGAACAAGCCAGTCGCAACAAAACCGCACAACCTTCTATAAAGTTGTCTGCTACGCACATTGGTGATTTGCCTGGTGAAGGTTTCTGAAGCCATTTAGCTGTACTCTCCTGCCGATGAGAACGTCATATTTCTCGTTCAGTAACAGTACACAGTATCCTGCGGAACGCTTTGCAGTGGCTTCGAGGTCACGGATGTGTGTGTGTTGATCCTTAAGGGAAAAATATATGCAAAATCGCTTCCTGCTGCCAGGCTTTTACATCACTTTTCGTCCAAACCTGACATCCTAGACCCGGATTCCTATCACAAAGATCATTGGTTTGCAGCCGGTGTTCTACCAACTGTTAGGATCCACGCAACTTGGTATAATAAGAGCACCCGGGTCTCTTTGAGATAGCATAGCACTATCAGCCTACATGGCACCCTGGTCAGTGTCAATCCCGTGGACTTCCTTCGCTCAGGTATTTTTTGCGTACTCATGTGAACCGCAACACTTGAACACACAGACGCCTGGATAAACTAATTTCAAGCTTCCTTTTTGTTTCATCTTAGGAATCGCCCCGTTTGACGACTGTAGCACTCTTATATGCCGACGTGCAGTTCTCGCAACACCGCAAACCAAGAAACTATTTTGTCAAATTGCTCTCTCTAATCTACAATCGGAACGGCAGTGTACCCAATAGGTCTGTCTTCGGTACCTCTTATCATATTCACAATTGCCAAAATGCCTCCATAATAAATTATTAAATTTGTATATTTCCTTACAAGCGGTCTACGATCCCACGGTGAGAGCGATTGGGTATTTCTGATCGTCGCAGTCAGCCGAGAATTCAAGTAAGTCAACTACCTATCCGGAACAGCACCAGACGGCCGTTTCGCGCTCATGGGGTTCGTCAGTGGTGCGCATCCTTCGGTCTTCTGCGAAGGATCGAACCCATGACTTCTAGTGGCTTGTGCCAAGTAGCCCGCAGTTTATGCAACTAAGCCATGGATGACGGTAGCCTACCATCATGCATTGTTAGCTAAATGCGATATAGCCCGACCCATCCTCCACTGCTATGCAGGCACCTGTCATGCAGATGACAGCGGTTGGCCTTCCGGCGTCAGGACTTCCCGATTATGGCAGCTATGAATCGACATAGCATTTATGAATTCCGTAAGGGCAAATTTGTATTACTTATAAGTAGAAGGATTTTGGCGAATATTTTTGTTCGTCGCAGTCAGCCGACAATTCAGATAAGTCAACTACCTATCCGGAAAAGCACCAGACTGCCGTTCCGCCCTATTGGGTCAGGCTATGGCGCAGTTAGCTAACAATTCGTGATGGTCGTCTACCGTCCACCATGGCTCAGTTGCATAAGCTGCGGGCTAGTTGACACAAGCCACTAGCAGATATGGGTGCGATCCTCCGCAGAGGACCGAAGGATGCGCACCGCTGACGAGCCCCAGTTGGGGCAAACGGCCGTCTGGTGCTTTTCCGGATGGGTAGTTGACTTATCTGAATTGTCGGCTGACTGCTACGAACAAAAATACTCCCCATAATCCTTCTACTCATAAGCGATTGGGTATACACAGAAGTTGTGTTAGTTACCGTGTTTAATACATATGGAAAAGTTTTCAGTATCATGCATTTTCCCATCCTCCCCTGTGCAGCAAACTAAACATATTACTTGATTAGATGCACTGCATTCTGCTCGCTTGTAATTCATTTGGTTGCTACGATTGTTTGTGCCACTCTCCTTAAAGTTGTTGTGTTGCGAAGCCTGGAAGTGGTCAGTGGTAACGGAAAGAAGAGTGAGCAGCAGAAGCTGTAGCAGAATTATTTAATGCCATCAAACAGACAATATTTCTTAAAAAGCGCTATAGCCGGTCTTTCATTCAAGCACCGATCCTTCGATAAAATTTCCAACTTCATATTTTATGCTGTAAATACGCTGAACGTTAGTGAGGATATCGTGCAGTTCTTGTTCGGTTGCCTTATATTCATTGGCAAAGTTCTGTTTAAACAGGTGATCTTTGCCCGTTTTCAGCACAATGTAACGGACGATCGCTGGTATCAGGGTGTGGCTCAATTCCACCAAGCATGTTCTAGTTGTACTCTGAATCTCCTTGATGCATCCCTCTTTCAAGTTTCTGCCAAAGTATATTATGCATCAGAATAACTTGTGTGGACCTATAAGCCGAACTGTTACTTGAAATGGGGATGTACTACATGTTGTTTTTGCTTGAGTATCTATGTACGTACATTCACAGGTTTCTGCCCATACGAACGAGACTCAGTCTGCACCATCGGTTAGCAACCCTGGCTATTTATACGGACAACAGGTTATCGGGGCCAGAAGCATTTCATCCAGCATTCTGTCTACCACTGCCGACAGCAATGCCGTCACCATGGTACCTACGTCAACCGTGGAGCTAGAAGGGGGGAAACTTCGTGGCACTTATCGCACCAGTTATGGCCAGTGGAACATTCTTGCTGGTGGTCCTTGCCCAGTGCTCCAACATAAGGTGTACTTGGCAGAGCCTCTGCTTTTTGGTCATGACACATTCGGAGGATGCATGTTCAGGTAAGTTTCGCCCCGGTGTGAGTGAGGCTGAATCAGAAAACACTTACTCACTCGCTCCAACCAACAATGTGTTTGCCGTCTCCGTTCACCTGTCCTCTTTTTAGTTACCTTTCTTTAACATTCTGAGTGTATTTCTATTTTTGTTGCTGCCTTATATTCAGCATTTTGTAGATATTGCTCTGTCCCTACATCCGTCCTTTGCACAAATTTCAAGTAATTCGATCAGCTAGTTTAGTAAGTAGATAATTATACGTCCCATCTAAACTCTTCGGTTCTTATTCACTGCAGTAAAGATGCTGGAAAAACTACTATCCTTGCTTACACACAGCTCTCCTGGTATGGATAGCATTCACCTCAAAGTACAGCATGTAGCAGGTAGCTGAACCATTAGTTGGATTCTTTCAGCGTTGTCCAGAGGAGAACAGCAAACAAACGTCAAAGGGGAAAAGAGGTATTATTACCCCTATGCACAAGTGAGGAAGTTGATCTTCGTTTGTGAATTACTAGCCGTTAAAGCTTCTCCCTATGCTAGCCAAGGTCATGGAAGCGATCAGTGCAGACGCGTTGATGGTCTACCTGGAAAGCCACGACATCACTTCGCCGAAGCAACACGGGTTTCGTCAACATCAATCATGTGCGACTAATCTGCGACAATTGGGCGGAAACAGTCGACGAGGGGACAAAAACCGATGTTATCGGTTTCAAAAGCGTCAGCTTGCTTGGATTACAGTATTCTGCTTAACACGCTACAGCATTAGGATATCGAAGATTCAGTATCTGGATGGATAGACAACATTCTCCGTGAACGGAGACTATAGGTTAGACTCCGATCATCTTTGCCTTACCCAATTTGAGTGGAGTTTCTGCGTACCTCAGCTTTTTGGTACTTGGGCCTCGCCTGTTCTTGGTTTTCATTAATGATCTACCAATATTATTACCTCAACGACTTTACTCTTCGTGGAGGACTTTAAGTTTTGGCGGGTAATCAAGGGAGTGGACGACCACAAGATTGTTCAGCGCGACCTCGATGAGGCCTGGAATTGGTCAGTTACGAAGGGGCTGCTATTCAGTGCGGACAAGTGTCACGTTGTCCACATCCGCCATCGATCCACTTATATCTACAGACTTGGAGTGCAATATCTGAAGACCACCAATCAGGAACGTGACCTCGATATGCTGATACCGGACGACATCGGTTGCTTCAGACAGTCGAGTGCGCACAGAAAATGGTAACCAGTATGTTGCTCTCTTGCGGAGGGCACCCGGGAGTTTGGTTTTACCCATTTTTTCTCTGCTGCACAATACATACGTGCGTTTCCACATCGAATACGCAATCTAGGCATGGAAGTCTTGGTTAAAGCGTGACCTCGCAGCGCTCGAATCCCCGCAATGGTAAGCAAACGAAAAATGTCAGGGGCTTGCGTCACCTTCCCTACCAGGATCGGCTAAATATACTCAGTGTCCAGTGGGGGCTATCGGCAGCTATATTGAGACCTCATATTATTTTGCCACATACCGAGCGATCCCGGTCACATATGACACCATCTATTAACACTCAGTCCGAACACCGACCTCAGAGGCCTGAAAATGCCTCAACTACACTGTCGTCTAAATTGTCGATGAACCTACTTGTTCCTCCGGGTCTCTTAATCATGGAACGCCCTTCCAAACTCTGTTGTCCGTACCCCCAGATTAGCCGCTTTTGAGAAACCATTAGACGTGGCATTTAGCTTCCTACACCTCACGAAGATGGACATTCTAGATATGTTCCGGCTAACTAGCTTCATGGGAATTATAACCTTCAGGGACGCAGGTAATTATGTGCAAACTTTTGAACTATCCGATTGTTATTTGTTATTAGCATTAACCATTATAGCTTTTTTAATCCGTTTTGCACGGTACAATCTCACCCCACAACCCTATTATTTTTATACCATTATCTATTCATCGACACGCGTTTTGTTTGGTCTACTTCTGTAGCCTCCGAATTTGCAATTTTTTCCATTACAAACCTACGGGACATGTTAATCTTATGATTTGTTTACCCCCCCCCCCCCACTACATCAACCACTGTTCTAATTTCTGTTCTGGATAAACGTTTTGCTTGCCCCTCTTTTATTGGCTATTTAGGTTGTGGAACTTTTTCTTTAATCAATCACTTCTTGACTCTTCTAGATTTTATCGGCATTTTTCATACCCATGTTATATTTGTGTTCCGGTGATCAACATAAAATGTGCGGTCTACACAGTTTCCGAGTTCATGGACAACCAGAAACACCCTTCTGGAAAACTAGTAGAAATGTTTTTGCGAATAGTTGGTCCCATTGCTTGGCTGTATACGTGTGATGTAGGTAAGGCAAGGAGTTTAGTATTTTTAGGCAATCTATTGATGTTTATTGTAACCTTCTGTTCGGAGCACTGAATTTTGTAGCATCCGTACGTTCCGTTTCCGCATGGAGTCAAGAATAAGGAGTTTCCACTCACTGTGCTACCCAACCAATGTAGCCACACCGTTGTTGCGTATTATGTCACAATGGCAAGCTGTCAACGGACTGTGTCTGTCCAGCGACGATCAACTAGCCACAACAATTGCTCTTGCCGCAAGACGATTATGAATCTCAGTCCTTGTGTCCTCCTCGGTCATTCTTCTGGGGTGAACTATAGCGGTACCTCAGTGTGTCAGTGGAGAGTGATGGGAAGTAAATGAATTGATGTCAGGGAACTAACAAACTGCTTGTCGCCCTCTATAAAATTTGCAAAAAGCAACTAAAGCACAATGCGGAACGGCTAAGAGAGATACTAAACCGCACTTGCGACAAGTGTGCGCGGATATCATCGTATATCATCTGCAGGGCGAACAACTTTGACCTTAGAAAACGTACGGGAGTGACAGCCTGATGTTCGCTGGTATGTCGGTGAACGTGATCCCCATTTTGAAAAACAGGTTGACGCAAGTCATTTGGGGTTTTATGATTCACTATGCAATCAATTAATGACCGAGAACTATGAGTTACTCCCATTTGAAATATCGACAAGCTTGGAAGTGCAAAGCTGGCGAATATGCTCATCTGAAGGTCAGATGAAGCAACCGTATAAATTAAGATGAATAGGATTAATGAAGACCACAACATTGCACTGTGAGAAGAACGCAGACCATCGCTGGAGATTTGACCAAGAGTACCTTAATTCAGTGGAGCGTTACACACCTCCGCGAGAACAATTAGGCCGAGTGAAGGTAGTCTGTTTACATACTGAATTTAAAGGTTAAATATCCTTTAAGCTGGTAAAAGCAATCTGAATAAGCTGCCTTTCTGTTTCAGGAGCAGTCTGGGTACTCAGGATAGAAAAATTTACTGTCGGCTGCGCTATCCTATATTCCGTAAGTACCGCCTTGGGGGATAGCTTTGACTAGCCCCATATTCACTACTTATTTCTTTTCGGCTGTTTCCAGATACGCACTTTGTGGAAGTGTTCTATTTGCCATCGGGTGATTTCATTCTCTAGAAACACAAAATTGGGACATCTGGAAGTGACTAGCCTAGATAAACATAGGTCCCTTTCCCAGTTTGACGCGTGCCTTCAAAGATGCTTACGTGGGTTCCTATGCTGTTGGTGAATAACAGGTTTGATGAAGGCTGATCTATGTTTATGGGGTTGCCACCGTGAGTGGTACCAGCGCCGTTCAGAAATCACCTTTCAAATTTTCTATTATCCTCTTTTCCGTACCAGAGGTACACTAGGTATACATTGGAATTCTACACACAAATCCGTTACCATCTCCTGTGGTGTTACTAATGAAATATGGTATCACTGCACGTTTTTTCCGAACTCTAGAAGTCCGTGGAACAATAACTATGAGCATTGAATTCAAGATGAGCTGCAGCGTACCAAACGCTAAACTGAAACGTTAACCGGTGAGTGTCTCAAGTAAAAGTGAACAACGAGTGTCACTGAGCTGGAACGAGCAATCATCTAGAGATAGTACGGTAGAGGTTTCCTCCTGATCAGAAAGGTTAATCTGAGCGGATGCTTGTCTAAAATCGGTAAAGAACCAATACTCCACCGTCCACATGGTTTGGGTTTTGGACTGAGTAATTTGAAAATCACTTCTACTGAACGCCTGCACTCTAGTCCTCTCTTTCTGGCATCCACAATGTTCATTGCATTGCTGACACTTCCCTACGGGTAAAACCATGGTTTCCTGTCGTCTTTGTGTTTTAAAATGTCACAGACTGCTTGCCGAAAATGAACGCCCTCGGACCCAATTCGCAGATGTGACCAATCCCTCATATATGAATTCGCTCCTCTTCTACAATAGACTTTATCCACCAAAAATCCCGTGCAACGAGAACTTAGTAGGTGCCATAAAAACTCTTAATAAAAACAACTAAGAAGAACATGCCAAATGACGACAGGTTAGCGCCATCTTTGTACACCAGGAGTGTCCAAAATATTTCAACGCGGATCATATTTTGCGCACCGAAAATACGTCGGGCCATATTGCGTCTGATATTAAGATAAGAACAAAAATTACACACCGGGCGTTTTGTTAGTTTGGTCCGGAGCTAGAAGCAGCTGCACTCAGGTGCTGACGTACAACCAGTACGCTGAATTGCTAACTGTCCAATGGCGCCAATTGCTTTGCCGTCAGGGGTGAGATGGTGACAGACGCCACATGTGTGCCTACGATCGCTGAGCAAACCGAGCCGTTCGGCTGTGGGAAATGAACGTTAGCCAGACATCAGAGCCGCAATGAATGCGTCATGCCTCGATCGCAGGGCAAGACCTAGGGAACGCACGCCGTTCAGATGTGAGAACTGGACGTGAGCCGAACATCACATAGCCGCACTGAACGTTTCATACTTCGATCGATCTGTAGTCGGTCTTCATGCAGGTGCAAAGCCAGCAAAGGGTTTCCTGCGAAGTGTTTCGCTGTGCTAGCAAGTGAAAAATCAGCCTGGCTGTATGGGATGACCGGTCGATGGGCGTCGTATTGCTTT